AAATATTACGATATTTGCCGAGGTTGAGGCACGCATTGAAACGCTATATGTATGCATTGTGCTTTGAAAAGAGCTGAACAATAAAGCCGTGCTCCCGTTTCGAAGCCAATTTTCAAAGGACTGTTTCTAACAATAAAGCACCAGTCGCTTTTTACTTTTCAGCAGGCACGTAGTTCGCCCTTGAGACGATACCTGCCTCACTTTGGAGATCCTCTTTCGGTTTATGATGAATCGTAAAAATTGGGAAAGTGCACTAGCATAAATTCATCTAATCTAATCTTTTTGTTTTAAAGATTTATAAGGAATGTTTCAACCTTTGTTTCCTAAGTGATTTAATAAATTTTCAAGTATATTAACATAAATCTATCTACGTCTTCATTTTAGAATTACTTCTAGGAAACAAATTCTAAAGAAAGGCAAACATATTTGTAACTGAATTATATTCCCAGCTAAAAAAGAATATACTTTCAAGCAGAATGAAATATGTTCGCGAAGCAATGACTCAGAAATTGGAAATTCAAACTGCAACCTTCTACTAATCCGCGTATGGCAAGCGCTTGAGTCTCGATATCTTCGAACTATGAATCGGCAGAAAACGGTGACAGAAACGCCGGTTCTTTAACAACATTTCGTAACACAAAGTAGAAGAACGAAGGTACACCTTACTCGCGATAACAAATCTTTGCATAACTCTAACATGCTTCCACTTATGGAACGTAATTCATATTGGTTTATTAAGACGTCTATACGACAGGTATCAGAGCACCTGATTACATTTATAAATCAATGTTAACATAATTTCGTCACAGGCTATTGATCAGCTGTCAACCGTGAAATGTAATATCAATTGATACATAAATTATCTCATTGGTCATTGTATCAAAAATTGTATCAACAATTGTTACAATTATTATACAATATGCAATCTCAATTAATACGTCTCATTAATCACTTAACGAACCGTAATACGTACCGTAATTACTACATATAGTGATTATTTCATCAATCATGAAAAATGATACAATTAGTGGTACATAAATATGCGTAGTTTATCAACCGTAGGATTATCGTAATCATACAAGCGTGAAAACGGTTCCCGGTTGAATGTTAATGTACGACGACAGAGAGTCATGTGGCAATAAATCCATCCTATCGAACTGATAGGCGACGTTATTAAACCCGAACAATAATAACGCGATAAAACAATCTTTTTAGCACTCTCATCGTTCGTCAAATTAATCGTCCATCGAATTTTATTCCATTATTCAATAAAATGCAACGTCATCTGCAAGCTGAGATTATCTTGTTAATCGCAGATTTATAAATGTAAAGTTAATAGGAATTGCTTTTCGTGAAATCGATGATACCTAGAATTTTATTTTGTACAGTGCAACGACGTCTTCGAGCTATCATTGTATTGTTAAATATAGATTTATCAAAGTAAACTTTCCCAGAATCGATCAATCAGACGTTTGATGGTGATTCATCGCCACGTGCTGCTCAATTAAGCTTGTTGAAAAAGAGATCGTAGCTAATTGATGTGCAACGGGGAATACGTTTGTCAATACAAAAAGCGCCAAAGCCGATTAGTTAAAACGATTTTCAGTTCTATTGAGAAATGAAAATGCTTCACGAAATAACTTTACAAACTAATGGACGAACATTTGTAAAAGAGCACGCAAAAATGAGCTTTTCATTTTCTCTTTATGCATGTGGAAAGACAGAAGTCTCTGTGCTAGAAATGATTCGAACAAATCTTGAACTGCTAATGCCTCAGCTTCATAAATATTCTCGTACCAGTCACGAATATAAAGGTTGAATTAAACGAATTGCAGCCAATAATCGTTCCCTCTGTATGGCACGTGCCTAACTTTAAACTATCTGTAATCACTGAGCCAATTCGAGCCACTCGTTCTAGCTACTTAAGTGTATAACAGCAAACATTACGGGATAGCTTACGGTACGCACTCGAAATCGGCCCTCCTCGAATCAGTTTACGCCCATCGACGTGCCCAAACTTTATTAGCTGCAGAATGTATCATCTCCAAACGTTTTACGACTCTGTCGAAACTCTTCATTCTTTTTATCACCTATTCAGTCAGAGGAATGCACGCAGAAAATGTTTCTTATAATACCTGTACCATAGTCGACGATTTAATTAATACAAAATGTTATCTAACTATCTAATCTAATAGGATTAAACAATATACATAAAATATATAAAATGAAATCATATCAGACTGCATTTTCGAGATATTCTTGGAATTCCCATTGTCTGTTTTGGTTCTTTTTCAAAGCTAGCCTTACCCTTCCAGTTCTGGGAATCTTATTATCGTGCACAGGTATAAAAGTAGCTTCTACGCAGACCGAATCTAAAATATTCCTAATGCCTCTGGCTAGAGCCAGATTCAAGGTTTTGTTTATACACCAGCGACGGAAGTACCTGTTGACCAACGACTTCTTGATTTTCGTATAAACAAACTTCCCGCATCAACTGTCACGCGAACAATTTACTTTTCTTTGAAGTCTGTTTTTTTTAATCCATTCATAGTTTTTGAACAATTCAGAATTTTTTATATATGTACATTAACTATTTTTTTATCAAATATTGTGGTCACCATTAAATGAAATGATATATTATTTATTTTATGAATCAAAAGGAGCCCTGCATGAATTACTATAGTAATAATCACTATAATATTCCAAGATTAACTAAAATGCACATTCATCGCATGCTATTGGATGCTCTAGAAATTTGAACTAGATACAATAGATTCTAAGAAACAGGAATACGAAGGTTTCATCTTGTACGTACTAAAAAAAATACCAACTCTCCTTTTTCCTCGGGCCAAATTTCACCAATCTAAATTTGTCCGAAAAAGCACTTCGGGAATACCGAATGATTTGTCGCAATGGTTACGTGCAACGAATATACGCCACGAATAAATGTGTCGTTTGTTATTTCCCATAGCATATTGCCTCCACTAGCAATGGATATGGACACGCGTCTCTTACGATAATTAACTGCTTGAAGCAACTTTAATTAATTATTGATAAGGATATGACGGTCGATGGTTGCTTGGCATCTCTGATAACGAAACAGAACTCAAAAACTCGCGTAACATATTTTAAAAGATTCATCTATGGGATGAAATCCTTTAATATCGTAAAGAATGTTCAACGCAGAATGAATCTTTCATAACGGAGGAATTTACAACAGATCAGTATAAAAAAAACTGTCATTCACGACTATTTAGATGAGTGGAAAAATGACAATTATCCGTACATGATAAAATAATTGTAAAATCCAAATCAAAGCCTTCCATGATTTTGTTAATTGCTTTAGATCTCTGGATTTTACACAGAGAGGTAGAAAAGTCTATGTAACATATACATATACATGCGCACGTGCTGGAGTATGTGCTTTATGTTCTTATACATACTTACCATGCAGCCGAGTTCATCAGCGCATGTCACGGTTGAAAGTTTGAAAAACAAGCAGGAGAACAAGCGTTGTCCTGAGATTTTTCAACCAAGCATTTCGCAGAAAAGAAATTTCGTAACGAATAGTGTAACAATCTTCTTAAAAACAAAAAATTCCAGCGTAGGTTCGTTTCATAACGCCCACCCACGAATGATAAATGTGAGAAAAGATGTATAACAATAAACATTAATAATTTTATCATCATAATTGTAAGATCTTGTACGAATTACTTACCTAAATAAGCGGCAAACGTCTTTCGAACGTTTACGAGTGTTAACCCTATGATTGTTTGGGATCAATCATAGAAACAAAAATGGCCACTACAGATTAGTCACTGATACACATAATCACACACGATTAACCGGCACATTTTAAGCAGATACAATAGGTTACCCCCAATACCAAAGAGCAAGATTCTCTTTCGAAATATGTATAAGGAACATTCTGGACTCCGTGTATCCGGAGATCGATCGGAATAACGAAAATCGAAATGTTTACGTACCCTTGGCCCAGGTCGATACACTTCGAGCCGTTCCTGGAGATAGTGTGGCCGCCGTTTTATAAACGTAGAGACAGTTGCGTCCAAATTCGCCGGTTGATTTGTTCCGCTGCTTTTAACCACTGCACGGCGCGGTCATTGTTGTCGGACGATAGCTGCGTTGCCAGGAGAGCACGGGAGGCAACAACGTTTCTTCTTTTTTTCGTACCGGCACGACGCACACGATCGCGGGCAAAACGCACGTAAACTCGTGTTCGCGAAGGCACCGCCGCTAACGGACTGGCTCTCTCGGTTCTCTGGACGTTCGTTCACACACGCGACTTCCCGGGGGAGACGTTACTCACGGTCTGCAGGCTTTAAACGCGGGAACGGGAACGGGCGAAACAGAGAAAAAGAAAAGGAGGAACGAAACGGAATCAAATTTCTACGCCGACCAATCACGAGGCCCGGTCCCGTTGCTATATCGTGAATTTACAAATTACCGGGATTTAATTATAGTAAACTGTATAGGGTGCTGTTATTTAATTATTAATAATCGCAAAGTTACAGAAACATTTGAAATTTATGTGTAAGTATCAATATTGAATGAACTGCGGTTAGAAAGTTCAAATATCCTTGTCCTTTAAACTTGTGCCGCGTTCTTGACTAGCCACAATGATTCATGGATACGTAACTGTATCACTCGTGTTTCGAGTTATAAAGTGTTACTAACTTTGATTTACCTTGCAAATCGCTGATATTTCTGTGACAGGTGTCAACGAATACGAAACATTATGATCGTTGTTACCGCAAATTTACATATGTAGTTGAATGTAAACGAACCTGGATTACGTATCCAGGCAGGTGGGTATGCACACGTTTAAATGCAAATGACGCGCCGGGAAGTACGTGAGACAGTTGCGAACAGTTAATCTATAATTAATCGGTAATATAAGAAAAAAATGTGACTTATTAAATCGTTCGAATTTTGCTTGACGTGAGAAAGAGGAAAATTTTGAGGTAACGTGACAAGTCAGGTCCATTGCGAAAAATGTACATTACGTTTATTGATGGTAGCTCGCGAAGCGAAGCTCCTCGTGAATATTCAGTGGATTACAAAGAGGCGCTTGGTTTTCAAGAATCGGGTAAGTAATTTACGTCGCAGCGCGTGATCGCGTAGTTACGCTGCTTCCTCTTTTTATTTAAACACAAGGGAGAAGTCCACTACCGGACTATGTATGTATAGAAATTGCTACGACGTGTTTTTCTATCGTTCGCGTGATTTCCAATTCTCACGTTTCATTCGATCGTCCCTGGCTCGTCTCGATTTCGTGGAGACGAGGAGGAACGAGAAAAACCGTGGTACAGGGTTCGGATACACACGAAATATTAATATTCTTGATACAGGCAAAATGCTACGGCTTGGTAAGGAGTGACCGTTTATATTATTACTCTGTGGTAATATTTATATATATATATATATAATATATATACTTCAACGTACAAACTATATCGTACCTTAATAACTTCTAACGCAATGGGGATAGTTATTTACACAGCCTAGGACCATCTGACGTGGTCCAGGATTTACGCGTTTTTCTTTTTCTCTTTCTCCAAAGAGTTTCTGGATCTCTTCACGTCTCGGTGAGAATACGCAGTCGTTTTTTACGGCGTGACAAGTATTTTCACATCTCTATCAACTAGTTATAAACATTTATACATAATACAACCAAGTTCCTCGCACACACGCACTCTCAGCCCCACTCGTAGGATTGTGTAACGTTTTCACCTCTTGTCTTATTCGATCCTCTCCGCGAATTAATCATTTTCTCAATTCATCTTTACGAGCATGTATATTCGTATACCAAAGAAACGACGATAAAAATTTGCCTATCGCGTGTAAAATTCTGAATGAAAATACTTTCCCGTGTAGAAAAACTCTCGATTGTTCTCTTCCTCACATTCGGTTCTAGCTCGATAGAAAACGCTACGGCTACTAATTTTTAAATAGAAGTTACGCAACGGATCGACTGCGAACGTTTATGCGAATCAGTTTCACTAAAGAAATTGATTTCCTCGTAGTATCACCTTCTGATTGTTTCATTGAAGTGCATAAACTTCCGCAATCTGTACGGATCAGTCGAGCGAGAAGAATACGATTTCGATTTGTACTTGGAAACCATACGTAACGAACGAAAGAAATATTACTGTTACCGGTACGCGGTACGATGCAATAAATAAGTAAAACGGGGTTGTCTCTTTTTTTAGTCAGGCTCGATAAAAATTTCTGGACGCTGCACATTCCTATGATCGGGGTGCACCGCTGTGTTTTATCCTTTATGCACGGAGAAATGATCCAAGCTACATTTCTTCGGGCGTAAAAGGGGAAAAGGACGCAAGGTGACATGGCACGATACCCTTAATCATTAAAAAGAAAAGGAGGGTACGGATAGAACCGTGTTTGAAATCCTTTACATTTGATACGTTTTACATTTCCCTGCTACTGTTCCTCGTTCAACAATATTGATACATAAAATGGTTAGCTTTAAATTAATATGACAGCGTTACGCGTCTGCGGATGAGCGTTTAAATGTAAGACGCGCCGAAGAAAGGAATTAGCCTGCTTCCATACGTATTTACAAGGCGCTTGTAAACGAACGCCCGGGAATCATCGGGGATAATTAATTATCATAACTCGCGAATCATTCACGCTAACGATCGTTCGCCGGCGAGGCTCGCATTCAATTCGTATCTATTTCACAAGTGACCCTTAGACATTTTACTGATTCAAATATCAAATAAATTGTAGCGTTCAAAAGTAGGCCTCGGTCTTCTCTCCGGTTGAATTTTCTCAGAGGTTTCGTTCGAAGGAATTGTGATATGTAAGATAGTCTATTTTCATACGAGATCTGATACGAGCCTCTGAACGGCCCAAAGAATTGACGAACTTACTTCGTTAGAAATCGGAACGTGCTTCTCACAACAGTCGGTGCACGATGCCCTTGGGACCAGTGCATACTTCGTACTCGTATGCAGTTATATTAAAATAAGAATATATATAAAATTATAAAACTATCAACAAATGTACATGTCGGTAGAAAAAGTTTGGAAACTAATCAGAATTGAAGAAAACGAGGGACGTCCCTCGACTTTCGGGTCCGGTTCCCTTTTCGTTCTGTATAAAATCTGCGATTACATCGTTAATGAAATAAAAATGTGGAGGTCACTGATTACCAAAAGAAGAAATTGGTTTCAACCCGAAAGTCTATTAGCGTCGTCGATCTACGTATATTGAGCTTCGGTTACGGAGAGCGTTACAATGAGAACGCGTTTGTGCATAAAAGTGGTGTAACAGAAGAAGAAGGTTTAGCGTATATATTTTCGAGGGTAACTTTTCCATGTCCACTAAAAGTCCGAAGAGTAGACGCGCATCGACGCTACCTATTTCGATTGCACTTTCGCTCGAGGTCTTTGTGCTACTGTATTTTCGTTAAACGTTGTCCAAAAGGAGTCGTTCTAAATAGTTGCTTCCAAATATATCACCCTTTGTCGTAAACGATCTAAAACCCTGAGTACGCCCTAATTGCGATTAGTCTTTCCTATGGAAAAATTGGCCGAGTAATCGGATGGTTTTCAAAGTGTACCCTCTCAGCACGCAACGACTTATAACTCGGAATCTAGTTTCCTTCGGATTAAAAAGGCGAAGACTTAATCGGACGCTCGCATAAGAAATCGTACGTGCTTGAAATAAAATTGACACAAGTTCCGAGTCGATTGCGTGCCGCGAAATATGGACAGTCTAAACGCGTAAAAAATACGGTGTTGTGCGCGACGCAGCTGAATACGATCGAAACTCTTTACAGACTTGGAATCAATCGGTCGCACGTTTCTGAATCGATTTGCAGAAAAATCGTTGTCGTACGATACCAACCAACGTGGAAACAGTCCCGAACGAATTCCCGTTTAAATTATACGGATAGTAGTCAGAGCGATAGCGAACTGTAATATTATTCTCTCAGCGACGATACATTAGAAAAACTGTCGACAGTTAAAACTCTTTTTACGTTACGATAGAATATGATTATGTTAGCTAATCGTTAGTTTTACGTATGTAAAAAATCGTTTAAGCTACACGAGTCTATCGATAAAGTGTATCAAATTGTTTCGATTTTTTTTTAATAGACGCGACATCGGATAGTTGTGAAATAACTACTACGTGGTTCTCGATAAAACTCACCATAGTGTCGTGTACGTTTCCGTCAAAATAACTTCTTCCATTTCATTCCCACTTGTAAAAAAGCTCACTACCGTCCTGATGTCGTTGATAAATAATGACTGACGTTACATTCGTCACTTTAACATTCAGGTAATACAATGTATAAAAGCACGATTTTCGCGAGAAAAACAGCTGACAAGTGTTTGAACTGTACATACTTGTCGTGGCAGTCTGAAGTTCGAAGGTATTACGGAGTAATTACCTTTCTCTTCCTGTCTCTCCTTCGCTGCGGGTTGATTCGTTGGTATTATTATACGTTGAGTTTACCCTTTAAGCAATGCGCTGTGCGTATCGTTTCTGTCTTCTTCATTGTCATGAATCGGTTTTTTTAACGGGTATAGTTTCTTATCGTTGAACGATCGCTCGTAGATGAATCGCTCCCAAAAGTGGGAGGTAAAATACTGGTAACCGAGCGGCATTGACGAGTGATTAATGCATCAACGCGCTCCCTTGTCAAAGGAAGAGTATAAATTGTTTAGGGACGACGTTCGCTTTAAAAATACGTAGAATCCTCGTAATATATTCCAACTTCTTCTCCGCGGGGAGATCGTCATCCTCCGACGAGGATAAAAATTCAGAATGCAGCCAGAGTGCAACTGAACCAGTACGGTACCAGTTTCACGCTGCGCTCGCTGCGGACTCCGACGCCGCTCACATATTATAAGCGACGTAAATAGGGTCGAGTTGATCCGCCAGGAACCCGTCACGTAAGTGCATCCGTTGCTTCTCGCCGCGCGAGTTTATCGGAACTACCCCGGGATCCACCACGACCACCACGCCTACTACGAGGTGATGCTCTTCAAGAACCGCGCTGGTGACCAACGCCACGAGATCTAGAGCTTCGCTTTCACTTCCGTCCAGCTCTACCACTACCACTAGGAGGTTGGTCCATGTAAACACGGCACTGCGAATCGTAAAAATAATTACGAATGAAACATGTTCCGAAGTTCGGAGCTCGTTATACTTTTCTATCAATCGAAATTTTTTAATAGGGTTTGATAGAATTTGCTCACCATTCTGCTATCTTCTTGTGACACCTCATCACGCTGTTTTCAATATCGATCGGGTGATACCGCATTCCCCTGAGCAGAATAGCTTCGTCGAGAGCGCCGACCACGAAAACGGCGTCGTGCAGCTCGGCGTCGCCAGGAACGAGATCCGCTTCGGCCGATGTATCACCGGGAATGTCGCTGATAACCGATTGTTGAACGCTTTCGGTGCGTCTAAGGAAACCGAGATAACCCGTTCTCGCGTATACTTCACTCGTATTTCCAGTTACGAGCCGCGCGTTGAAATGGTCCGCGTAATCGCTCTCGTCACCGTATATGGTGAAATATCCGCTTGCATTGTGAGCGGACTGTACCCAAATTTCGCCCAAGTGAGAATCCCCACATTGACCTTTCGTCTCTGGGTTGGCGATGATCACTTTCACTCCGGGTAGTAGCTTGCCTGACTCCATCAGGCACAATGAGTGAGGGCTACCTCTCTCGACCAAAGACACGCGATCGTTTCGCAACGCGCGAAGATCGACGTACACAGTAGAAGGTTCAGGACTCGATGCTCCCTATTCCCATTTTAATAATGTTATGGAAAATAATACGAATTCTATAGACTTGAAATTGTATATACGAACCTGTAAGCAAATAGCGGTGTTTACTCGACAACCGAAGGAAGTCGAGACAGCGCGTGGACTTAGACCCAGGGCAGAAAACAGTTTACTAAAGCTCGTCGTTAGCGCGATTCGGGGTCTTTCTTCGGCAACGACGACGCATGTTCTGACGCAGGCCAAACTAACGCCTCTCGCTTTCAGAGCGTGAACAGAAGAACCGAGACCCTTTGTGCACAGTTCCATTACTCCATAAGAGCAGAACGTGTCTCTCACTCTCGACTGGCTAACCGCCGACAGCCACAAGGCTGGATTAGCTTCCACCTGGCAAGAGGAAATGTTAGAAAACTTCCCATTAGCCCTCGTTGCTTTTTTGATAAAGAAATACGAACCTCTGAAGGCGGTATGAGTATAGAATGATGACCACTGTATATGCTGCTCAAACACCAAAGGGCAAATCCTAATCCGGAGTAGGGATCCAAGCACAGAGCGATGTGCCTGGATGGGTACAATTCACAGGCTAGTTTCATGGCACGACAGAGGGATGTCACCGCTGCGTGAGACATTTTAATTCCCGCGAGCATGCCCGTGGTGGAGACGCTGAAATCCAGGTAAGCCAGCATCTCTGCCGTGGGCGCTCGGTACATAACAGGTAGCTTCTTCTTTGGCATGTCGTCCATATCGAGAATAGTCGGCCAACCCTTCGTCTCGACAACATTATTTGCTTCCTGTAATTCATAGTGAGCTCGTTCGAATTCATAGTACGAGAAAATAAAAGTGCTTAGAAAGTTGTAACTTATACCTTCGACTTCAGCAACTTGAGGATATTTTGATTGGTGAGCACGAGCACGGATTTACTGACATCCACGATCATGCGAACGGTTGGCAAGGTAGTCTGGAGGTTCTGTGGGTGGGGCGGCCTAATTGTAACTGGCACGGCGCCAACGTAAAGGCAGCCGTAAAACGCGCATATCAGATCCGTGCCGGGAGGAAATATTAACGCGACGTGGTCCCCGGTATTGATCCTTCCGCGGTCCAACAATAGATTCCCGATTCGTTCGGCTTTCTTATGCAACTGCGAGCAGGACAATGAAGTCGCCACCGCTCCCTTCGCGTTTAGAGACGTAAAGATGACGTGGTCGGAGGTACTGACGGCGCGCCATCGCAGGATCTCCGAAATGAACTGATACTGAAATATAAAATAAGGGATAAGCCATAGATGTCATTCTCCTATTTTTTCTTAATATGAGTACACACCTTTTTGGCGTTATCGCTATCCTCGTCCAAGACGCCCATGTCTCGCCCTTGAGCCGAGGCCAGTCTATTACCCTGGACAATGTTGCCCACCATCACGCTGGCCGGTCCAACGTCTGCAACAGAATCCCCCGCTACACGCCCCCGCACCATTCCGTTAGTAAACCAACACAAACACTCAACTCAATAATGAGTAGCTCACACACTCTCCCCTGACTGAGGCCGGAAAATCAAAGCTAGGTTCGTGAAATGGCTCGTTATTCTCTAGAAAAGTGATTAACGCGCGTCTTTCTGTATAGACGCGCTTCGGAGCATTCCGTGGATTGTACATACTTAATAAATAAAATAATTCCGTGCTTCTCCCAGAACTGATAAAGAAGTAGCGATGTGAAATTGAATACAATAGAATAGAAAATGTCCATTATTATTTGCAATATATATTTAGTTGAAATATTATTATTATTTACAAAAGATCGGAAGAGAATCTCACATCGCCAGAGACAATTCAGTCTATAGGACGACTACGGGATATTCGGAACTCAGCCAAAAGAAAGAAGGGCGAAAATAATAGAATAACATGCTAAGCATTAAATTATTTTAGTGTCGGGTGGGTTAACGATACATGATATGTAGCAAGAGACAGTTATATACTTTATACATCTGTGCTAAGTTACTAAAGCCTACTTCATCACTTTATATAAGAAAGCGTAAGTGTTACTCTCGTCCCATATCGCGTTAATTAAAATTTATTTTCAAACAGAGCGAAACTCCGTGTTCACGAATTAATCGTAATAATGCTCTCATTCATTCTTCCAATAATCATTCTCGTATACATTTAAGCGAAACGATCCAACAAATTGGTAGAGCCTGCATCGTTTTTACTCTTTCCTTTAATCGAATTTCGAAACATACGAAATTACCAATTTCAATGGGTCCTCGCTTAAATCGTAGTAGTCAAAGGAAACGAAGTAATGTTACAACAAAATAAAGAGTGTATATACGTCTTTGTACTTGCTGACATTCATGTAATTCCATAAATTTAATTGACACCTGGTTTTCGGGGAACAGTACTCACAGGTGAATTTTGCAATCTCGCTTACCTGAATGGACTTCGCGTGGTTTCGGTAGATTGGTAACGCAAGTGTGCGGACAAAGAAGTACGTTAGCCGGGTGAAGGGTACCCTCTAGGAAACGTCGTTTCGTTTCCGACAAATGAATACCGCCCAGGGGTGTTTTCGGTAGATAATTCGGCGGGACCAACGCGAGACAGTATATTCCCACAGCGTGAATCGAATCGACGGCTTGAAGTACTCGCGACATCCATTGGAAACTCTGCAAAGGACCATTGCAATTTTATGCAAACTTGAATTTGGACACCTTGCAAACGATCACTTTAACCAAATGCTAATCGAAAATAAACCAAAACGTACCTCTTCTTCACTGCAATCCGGTCGTTGTTCCGCGACGACGCATATTCGTTCGTCCCTGAGGACACGCACACTGAAAACTGCTATTCTACCACGGTAAATGAACTTCATAGGCTCGACGGCCAGGACAGTGGCGATGATATCGTCGGCGTTGTGCTTCCGTCCTGTGACGGTCATGAGGCCGTCGCGAGATCCACAGACGAATACGAGACCCCCGGGACCGAGGAAACCCAATAAACCAGAGCGCGTGTACTCCACATCACCGAGCGGAGTTCCATCAGCTTGAAGCGGAGACACTTTAAACGTGTTATTCGTTAATCCTTGCAATCCCCAGTACTGGGTTCCGGTTGCCGCGCTGTGTACACAGATCTCGCCTACTTCGTCTGTCTTACAGATAAACGGCTGTCCTTCCATTTTAATCACAACTACGATACCTGAGAACAGATGACATTCCCAAATTTAATTGTCATTTCATTTTATCCATACGAACGAGTTGGTATTTCTATTATTTTATCGCTATTATATAAAACGCGTACGATTCGAAGAAGCGAAATGATAACTTACTTCCGGGCATCACTTGACCACAATCCTGAAGCGTCAAAGAAGTAAGAGAATTTTCTTGATCCACTCTGACTACGCCGTAACTGAGACCAGACATGGAAAGCACACCTCGGCCAGTAGCATTGACACCCGCACGGCCTGGTCTTCTGACCGACACCGTGAGCGCCTCGCTGGAAGATGCGCAAGGGCAAACGGCGTCTGGTCTCAAACCCTTTGCCTGGAACACCGAGAGGAACTGGTCGCAGGAAGAGAGGGACCAAGGATTGGCTCCGTCCGCGACTAACAACAGCCTCAGGGACGAAAGAGAGATATCTTTATGATCCTTCGTAGCTAAAAGACCCCAGTGAAGATCCCGCGATTTAACCACTGCTACGCTGGCGCGATGCTTCGTGATCATCTGCATCCAACTAGCCGGGTTCACCTTCATCAACGCGTACGGGATGAAGATTACGTGCATTCCATTCAGAATGCTTGTGAGGGTGCTGTGCCAGAGGCCAACCTCCCGTTTGAAGTCCAACACGCACACCGCGTTCTCGCCTTCCGTATAGCCGCAGGCTTGTGTCAGAGCGCGACAGTGAGACAGCATCGCTGATCTCGTTACTGTTACTCCCATCACCGAGCCGTCCTTGTCCGTGGTGTACTCGATGTACGCCGGGGTGTCGTCGGTCAACCGAGGCGGCGGCATCCAGTCTTTCGGCGTTTTACCCAAGTGCTCCGTGACGAACCAATGAAGTTTTGGCCAGCCCTTGAACGCTACTACTTCGCCGGCAGCAGTTTTTGGTAGGCCTTTCAAGCAAGCCTCGCTGGTCAATGCCACCTGAATGCAATTTTTATAATTAAATGCTTATAACACGTATATTTGGCTTGACTTCGCTTTACCTGGATTCCACAACTTCCTAAGAGAAAACCGATCTGCTGCGAACCCGCGTCGCGACGCGTTAAAGGGACTTCGATCGGCACGGGAACAATGCCAGCCTGAAGGCAACCGTAGAAAGCGCACATGAAGCTTATCGGGTCGTTGTTCGGATAAACCAAGGCAATTCGATCGCCGGGTTTCAAACAGCAGTCGCCACTGCGACTTAGAGCCTTGTTTAACAGCGTGTAGGCTATTTTATGGGAACGACTTAAGAGTTTCCCATAAGTAAGCGTTACGCAAAGTTTCCCGTTTGGATCGAGCACGGTAGCCACTGGCGCTTTGTACGACGCTGACCCGTACCTGCGATACATATCATAATCGCAACGCTTGACATGATACTTGATACGATGATCGATGCATGAATTTTATTGATGTACCAAATTACATAATGATTGCAACAAGCTGATGATGAAACTGAATCTTGTTACGCTCGATCAGTGGCTCACCTCTGTATAGCAGCTTCGAGAGATCTGGGCAATCCCGCAGCGACGGAGAATTGTTCGCCGACTGCGGAGGTCATGGATCCTCCTTCGGGTTTCGGAGCGTTCGGATCCTTCGGATTGGCGGCGATCTCCAACTCGATGTCATCGTCCTCGTAGAACTCGGGCAACGGTCGCCGCTTCGGTCGTTTCAACGTGTTGAGCAATTGTTGGATCTTCGCGGATACCTTCCAACGACCCGTGGTCCCGGTGTTGTTTTGATCCTCGACGACGTGGTAATGATTCACCCTATCGGCGCCCGGTCGCCTGGTCGACTGCTGGGCCGCCGGCGTGTTGCTGGTGTGCGTCACGTCCGGAGGCTGGATGTTGCAGTAAGCGTGAGGCGTATATTCCGCGATGTCGGTGATGTCCGCACCAGGAGGTCTCCTGGCCGGTGGTCTCGGAGGCGGAGGCGTATCCCGCGCCGAACCGGTGCTGCTGGTATCCGACAGCCCTGTACCTAAAATTCCTAGAGTCATTCCTTAGGCTGAATTACCACTTGCCCACACCTACGACTAAATCCTCTTTCGCATTCATTTTTAACGAAATATAAACTCGACTAATATTAACTGTACAAATATTACGAAAATAATACGAGTGTAGCTTGCGGATTTTTCAGTCGCTGGCGACTTTTCGCAAGCGGGAATTCCTGATTACAACGGTATCGCGATGATCAATGACCTATGTAAATTTATCAAAACGACGAGCTCGTGGATTACCTGTCGGGCCGCCGGCACCAGGGCTCTCCTCTGTAACCACGCTATCCTCGTCGCTACTGGATTCACCGCTATCGCGGCGTTCTCGGTCAGGACTCCTGGCCATCACGGAGGTTCTCTTCGACGGCATCGGCAGCGACGGCTTCGGACGACCCTGCATCGCGGCCAAAGCTTGCTGCACCGCCTCCTGGCGCACCTCTGTGCATTCACAGTCGAATAATCAACCGTATAACATTTTACCAATGAATCGAATAATTTCAAGACCATCACACTCAGTTCAAGGTTCAAGCTTGTATCTCTTTCGAGAGTCACGCGAGCGTCTTGTAAGTTTCGTCGTATGCGGCAAGGCTTTCACGCAATTCGTAAGTTCTTCAAATTCTTCGTAAGCTCTCGCTTGGAACAGGCAGGCACTTCATTTATCTCGAAAATGTGTTAAATTCGCGGAGATAAGTTACGCGTACCTCGTGCCGAGACACGGGGAGTTTCTTCCCCGCGGTAATTTGTATCCGGGATTTTTCAGGAAACCGGCGTGTCGAATTATCTTATTTCCATCGCTACACGCGTGTGCGCTCTCACATGGCTTCCACGTAACAAACGTTCCGCGATGTCGTAATAACGATACAAATACACCGGCGACCGGAAATGCAATCGCTGACCGAATCCGCTATTACGCTTCGCTCTACATTCTAATCGAGTCGCGAACGAATCAAACAAACGCGATTTATCAATCTTATTATAAAGCCTGGCAGAAATACGAGGATACGATTTATTCAATAGTTCGCGATAAATTCATACGCAGCTAGTTTCGATAAAAATCATTAAACAAGTCATTGGGAACGTTTCTTATTTGATATCCAGTGTGGTAACATAGACGTAAGAATGCCGGAGCGTATTAGAATACGAAAAATAAATGCAAAGAGCATATTTGCGTGTAACCGCTCGCGGACGTTCCCTGGATGGGCAACGACTTATCTTCGGAGGCATGCTCGTCCTCTTCGAGCGGTAACGGTGCACCAGCTGCGAGATTACCCGTGTGCCTCTACTAGATAAATGAAGTTCCTATGCACCGAGAACCGTTTGCCTTTCGTTCCGTTCTGACGAACACGACATTCAACTTTTCTAATAAAAGTCCCTCGACTTTAATTGGCCGCAGTCAATAAGAATGAAATAATTAATTACTCCTTTATTTCATTCGACATTAACTTCGTATTTGACTGAGTTAAGGATGTATAGGCTATATATTTAAACAATGCTAGCATGTTGAATTTGTTATTATAG